GTTCTTTCTCCAAAGGAAGAAGAGAGAGTTGTGGAGATTCAGACACTGGCAGTGGCCAGTTTGTACTTTGGTTGTCTGCAGTCAGACCAGTGACCGAGCCGGGGGTGTCCAGGGCCGTACGCCTGTGCTCTGCTCTGGACCTCAGCCCCTCCTTTTCTCTCCCAGGGCCAACCTGAGCGATTTGTACTTCACCAACCGTCAGGACCGCTACGTCCTCCTGCAGGACTCTCCCGAGATCGCAGACTTCTTCACGGAGCTGGTGGATGCCGTTGGAGATGTGTCCCTGCAGCTACAGCAGGACGACACGGTGCAGATGATGGAGGGGATGGTGCACCCCTACCGAGGTGGGTGACGGGGCCAGGGCAGGGAGGCACAGCCAGGGCTCGAGGATGGCTTGAGTGGTTTGAGTCACTGAGCGCGACCGTTGGTGCAGACCCTGGGCTGTCCCCTTCTGTGCCACCCGTGACTCAAACCGGGATTGCCGGAGTTTGGGACTGCGTCTGCGGGGGTGTTCCCGGCTGTCACAGCTGAGCTGGCAGAGCACAAAGGCTCCGAGTTCCCCTTTCTTCATAATTCTGCTGCTCGTGACCTCAACTAAGAACTTACGTCCTTTGATGTAGGAAAAGGCTCTTTCTGGTCTGTAGTTGTAGGTGTCCTGTGTGCACATGTTCTGAAAGTTTCATGAATGTAGTGCTCTTTTTGGTCATGAATATTTTGTAGTCGAGTCTGTTCTGGGAATCCAATGAATATTGAATTAGGAAGACTGAGAACAAGTGCTGGAGTGGCAGAGAAGAGCATCCCTGTCAGGCTGGTTGCACGAGGTGTTTCTGTCCTCGCCCTGTGCTGGGAGCTTGGACTGCGGGCAGCACCTAGCTCTGTGTTTCCCAGTTCATTCTTGGTTACTGCTTTAGCTTTTGCCCTGGTCTTTTAATTTCTCGGGGTTTTTCAAGCTGCTGACAGTCAGGCTTTTACCCTTCTTCAAGCTGAATGCTTTTCTTCCTTGCTAACCTTAAGACACCTGGTTTTGAGATGTAGGGAGGAAAGTTGTGTGGTCTGGGCGTTAGCTCTTGTTCTGGTACCGTTGTCCTGTCAGCAGCGTCCCCACCACACAACAGGCGATGTGCAGCTCTGCACCGCTGCTCTCAGGCGCGCTCTGCTGTGGTTTTCCTGCAGGAGACAAGCTGGCTTACTGCGAGACGGCGAACCGGAGGGTCATGGAGGTGATCAACTCTGCCAGGACGCGGCAGGAGCTCCTGCACGCCAAGACTTTCCACAGCGGCCAGCAGGGCCGCTCCTTGTCACACCAGCAAGGCTCTGCGGCGCCTGGGGGCCAGAAACCTGAACCCGACACCTGGATCTATCCCTTGATCCAGATGAAACCCTTTGGGATTCAAATAGATGAGATGGTCACAGAGACGCTGCTGACTGAGGCCGAGCGGGACGCCAGGATATACCTCACCACCGGCTACTTCAACCTGACGCAGGCCTACATGGACCTCATCCTGGGCACCAGGGCCGAGTACCGGATCCTCCTGGCCTCGCCGGAGGTGAACGGCTTTTTCGGTGCCAAAGGGGTGGCCGGGGCCATCCCTGCCGCCTACGTCTACATTGAGCGGCAGTTTTACAGCGAGGTCTGCTGCCTCCAGCAGCACAGCGGGTGCAGCTGCACGAGTACTCGCGGGCTGGCTGGACGTTCCACGCCAAAGGTGAGGCGGCTGCTTCCCGCGGGGCTCGCTCGGGTCGCACAAGCAGTGGGGGGGTGGCTGGGTGCCGAGCCTGGGCTTCACCTCCAAAATACTCATCCAGGGCTCACGCGTCTTGCGTCAGCCGGGAAGGTTCGGGCAGCTCGGGACAGGCGTGCAAAACCTGCAGTGCTGATTCAGACACAGTCCTGGGGCTGTACAGGAACTGTCCCGGGAAGGCACCGTCTTGGGGTGAGACTTGAAGGAAAAGGAAGCATCTGGATGTGTTTATGATCGCAGCTGTGACTCAGTTGCCGGTTTTGGCTCCGAGAAGTGATGACTGAGGATCCCTGGGGCAGGAGCAGGGAAGCGGTGACCCCCGGGGTCGTGGATGCGGTGACCCCTGGGGTCTTGGATGTGGTGACCCAAGGGGTCCTGGCTGTGGTGACCCCTGGGGTTGTGGATGCAGTGACCCCAGGGGTCCTGGATGTGCTGTCCCCCCGGGGTCATGGATGTGATGACCCCAGGGGTCCTAGATGCGGTGACCCCAGGGGTCCTGGCTGTGGTGACCCCAGTGGTTGTGGATGCAGGGACCCCAGGGGTCCTGGATGTGCTGTCCCCCCGGGGTCATGGATGTGATGACCCCAGGGGTCATGGATGCGGTGACCCCAGGGGTCCTGGCTGTGGTGTCCCCCAGGGGTCCTGGCTGTGGTGACCCCAGGGTCATGGGCCGCGCTGCCCTGGCAGGATCTGCATGGGGACGGCCCCGGCACTGTGGGGTCTGTGCCAGCTCTGTGTTGGCTTACGGGAAGGTGCAGCAGTGAGCGCACCCGGGTGCCTTCTGGGAGCTGGGGGCAGCTGCAGGGGAAGTTGCTGAGAAGTGAACGTTGCTTAACAAATGCAGTTGATAAACAAGCATCATTAATAGTGTAGGAGACCCCCGTTCTTCTCCCTTGGTCGGTGCTGTCCAGTTTGCACAAGCCCAGCGCCACCTTGACCAAAGCCAGAATATTTTCCCCCGACTGGGTGTTGCTGGTTGTGTTCCTAAATTTTCCTTCCAGAAAATCCAGTCCTTGACTCCTCTGTTCTGCTCCGTGCACAGTACTAAGGGATTGCTCAGAGTGGATTTTAGTGATGCAAGTATCTTCAGAAGCCGCTTAACTGGGGATTTTTCCCTTCTGAGCGGCGTGTCTGTGTTGGCTGCACCAGTGAAACCCCTGGCGGGACGGCGCGGTCTGGCGGTCAGAGCTGAGACATCCGCGCTGCGCTCTGCTCCTCCTGGACCGTGACTGCTGCGCGGTGTCGCTGTGCCACTTCCTGCGGTGGCTGCTCCCAGGACAGCGCAGTTACCGTAAGGGTCTGATCCGGCACCGGTTAACGCTCGGCTCCCGTGCCGGGCAGCTGAGGGACGCTTCCTCCGCGGGCAGCTCCTGTGTGACTGCGGCGCTGCAGGGATGCGGCCTCTGCTCCGCCTGCTCCTGCCTCTGCTCCCGAGATGTGCTCCCGGGGTTTGTTCCTGGAGGGGAACATTGACGGCTGCAGGAATGGCCCCATCGGCCCCATGTCCTATGGGAACGGCCCCATCCTGTGGGAATGGCCCCATTCGCCCCGTGTCCTACGGGAAGGGCCCTGTCCTGCGGGAACGGCCCCATCCTACGGGAACAGCCCCATCGGCCCCGTGTCCTGTGGGAATGGCCCCGTCCTGTGGGAATGGCCCCGTTGGCCCCGCGTCCTGTGGGAACAACCCCATTGGCCCCACATCCCGTGGTGCTTTTTGGACGGTTTGGAGGTGGTGGGAGAGAAAGCTGCCGAGTGGCCCTCTCCTGGCTGGGACACTACTGGAGGGTTACTCGCTGCTTGTCTGCCTTTCCCTTGGCCAGGCCGCAGGGATCCCGAGCCCCATCTCTGGCATGTGGTGCCCCTTGGTTCACCCACGTCCCTCTGCAGGGTCGCAGGGAGAGGACGGGGCAGGACAGGGAGGAGGAGAAGCCTGGAGGCAGATGGAGGGCAGTGGCACACGGGGTCTGGCTCCTGTCCTCTGCGGGTGGGGAGGGCCCTGGAGGAGTCGGCCATGCCCTGGGCCAGCTCTGAGCCGGGAGGCGCAACCGAAAGTGGCAGCGCAGCGAGGGGGCGGGAGGAGGTTACAGGAACCGCGGTGAGTCGGCAGCGTCTTACTCAAGGCGTTCTTGGAACCGCGTTAGGAAACCCGCTGCTATTTTCGGGGCTGGCTGGTCGTGGTGTTGGGGTTTCTCTGGTGGAGCGTGTGACCGTGGCAGGGATCAGCCGCCCACCAGGGACCTGCCCACGGCTGTGCCAGGCGCTTGAGCCTCGTGAAGGGGAGAGCAAACCCTGCTCACACCACATCTGCAATATTGTGTTCAGCTCAAGAAGGACAGGAACTGCTTGAAAGAGTCCAGCAGGGCCACAAAGTGATGGAGGGAGTGGAGCATCTCCTGCTGAGGAGCGGCTGAGGGAGCTGGGGCTCTGGAGCTTGGAGCAGAGGAGACTGAGGGGTGCCCTCATTCCTGGGGATCCATTGGGAAAGGGCAGTGTCAGGAGGAAGGAGCCAGGCTCTGCTCTGGGATGGCCAATGCCAGGACAAGGGGCAATGGTCCCAAGCCGGAGCACAGGAGGTTCAAGCTGAAGATGAGGCCAAAGTTTGTGAGTGTGAGGGTTCTGGAGCATGGCCCAGGCTGCCCAGAGAGGTTGTGGAGTCTCCTTGTGTGGAGACACCCAAAGCCCTGGCCGTGTTCCTGTGTGACTGCTCTGGTGATCCTGCTCTGGGGGGGTTGCACTGGGGGAGCTTTGAGGTCCCTTCCAGCTCCTGACATCCTGGGATGCTGTGATTCTTGGGTCCGTTTACCCACGAGACGGCAGCACAGGCCCTTGGCAATGCTCCTGGTGCTCCAGGCACCCCCAGCCCTTCCCTGCTCTGCTTCCATCACACCAAGAGCCAACCCCAGGCCGTGTTGTGCTGCTGCTGCTGCACGGACCGAGCTGTGTGTGCTGTGGTGTGAGGGCACCTGGGAGCTGTGCGTCCCGGTGAGGGTCTGAGCGCACCCGGGTGGGTGTCAGAAATGGTGCTCACCGCAGTCCCTATTGCACTGCATTCACCTGCGGGAGCAGGGAGGTGCCCCAGCTGCGGCCAGCGGACCTGGGCTGGGGTTTCCTTCACTGGAAAACTGTGGGTCTCACCCCAGTGTTATGTGTATGACGATGTTTACCCATTTCTCTGGGTTGTACGCGGCCGTTTCCCCCATCTGCCGCACTTCCCCTCTCCTGTTCTTCCTGCAGGCCTCTGGCTGTACCTGGCGGGGAGCGACCTCCCCTGCCTGACCCTCATCGGCTCCCCCAACTTCGGGTACCGATCGGTCCATCGCGACTTGGAGGCTCAGGTCGCCATAGTGACGGAAAACAAAGCTTTGCAGCAGCAGCTCCACCAGGTAAGCGGCCGATTTCGGGGCGACGGCAGGGACGTCGTGTCCGGGGTCACCCAGGCAATGCGGGGACGCGGCTGCGATGGAAACCTGCAGCTCCAGTAATCCAGAACCTGCCCCAGCATGGGGAGTCCGGGGGAGCTGTTGGGTCGGGGGCTGCAAGCGCCTGTTTATGGGAGCGGAGGCCGACAGGGGCAGGAGCATCATCCCCAGTGAGCTCAGCACTCCATGCACACAGAGCTCCTGGGCCTGATCCCCGCAGCCCAGCGGCGCAGGGTGCTGGGGTCAGGCCCTTGGGGTGCGGATCTCGGCCCCGCAGGCGTTTGGGACCTGCTCGGGGGGCAGAGCGGTGCCGAGCGGCGGCCGCCGCAGCTGCGGGGTGAGCAGGGACGGCGATCTCGGCAGCGAGAGGATTTCCGAGCCCGTGAAGTTAGGTGCCATAATATAACCACAGATAACAATGTGATGTGATCTCGACACAGGGGTTTTGTGTTCAGTTGTGATCAGCTCTGACTGTCGGCGCTTTTGCTGCCTCTCCACATCCCTCCTGGTGCTGTCCCCACACTGTCCCCACCGCCCTGGCTCTGTCACAGCCATCCCTCGTGTGATGCTCTGGTACAGATCCCATCGATTCGGTGCCCCCGTGTGAGCCGTGTGGCTCCCAGAGCTGCGCTGCGCTGGGCCTGGCCGCAGCGCTGGGGATCAATGGGAATTGCCCCCATGAGTCAGCGGCGCCTGGTCAAAATGAGGCCGATTGGGCACACGAACGGCGTCCTCCTGCCATCGGTTCATCCTTTTGGTCCTTCCCAGTGCTTGGTCCCTGCTGCCCCGTTCTGCCCCGAGTGCGAGCAGTTTTCTGGTGTTCACCCCAGAGGAGGGGTCTGCCCCTGTGTGCCCCCAGACCCAGCGACCGAGGTGCTGATGGGCAAACGGCTCCCACCCTTGGTCCAGCACAGGAGGAGCCCGGGTGGTGCTGCTGGAACCACGGCTGCTCCCTCATCCGCAGACACGGGGCTGTGTCCAGAGCTCTGCAGGCCACGGGGAGGTTTCCTTTCCTGGCCATCACAGCCAGGACCGAGGGTGTTTCTGGAACCGGAGCTCAGCTCCCCTGCAGCCGTGGGGCGCAGGAAGGCAGAGCTCTTCTGCCCTTGCTCTCTGTAGTTTGAGTTGCTCACTCCCGAGGTGTCAGCAGCGGCAGTCGTGGTGATGGGCAGGAGGACGGGTCCTGCGCTCCCTTTGTTCCACGCCATGAGGTGATTTAACACCTGGGGTTTACTGCAGTGCTGCTCCTTTCCCCGCGCAGGAGCAGGAGCAGCTTTACCTCTGCTCAGGCCTCGTCTCCCCGGCGACGTTCGAGCAGCCGAACCGCCACGTGAAGCTGTGGGTGAAGCTGGTGACGCCCCTCATCAAGAATTTCTTTTGAAAGAAGAGAAGCTGCTGCTTTGGGTGAGTTTCCTGCTGCTCTGTGGGAAGGTTGTGTTGCCCTGACCGCAGCTGTGAGCGCAGCGCTCGATGATGTGGGGCAAAACCAGGCGTCTCCTCCTGTGGGGCGCTCACCCCCGACTGGAGCCATTGCTCAAGGGCTCTGGTTTGTCTCCCAGAACATCTGCATGAAAGGGAAGACGCTCACGGGTATTTCCCATGCAGAGAAATCATTCCTCTTCTGAAACGTCCCTTTCAGGGCTCTGTGGGCAGGGCCTGTGCTGGTTTTATCTTGGCCAGCGAATAGAAAGCCCTGCTGGGACACGGAGGAGGATTTCACACACACAGAATCCCAGAGCGTTAGGGATTGGAAGGGACCTCCAAAGCCCATCCAGTCCAATCCCCCTGCCGGAGCAGGAACACCCAGATGAGGTTACACAGGAAGGCGTCCAGGCGGGTTTTGAATGTCTGCAGAGAAGGAGACTCCACAACCTCTCTGGGCAGCCTGGGCCAGGGCTCTGTCACCCTCACTGAGAAGAAGTTTCTTCTCCAATTTCAGTGGAACCTCCTGTGTTCCAGTTTGTGCCCATTACCCCTTGTCCTATCATTGTTTGTCACCGAGAAGAGCCTGGCTCCATCCTCGTGACACTCACCCTTTAAATATTTATAGACATGAATGAGGTCTCCCCTCAGTCTCCTCTTCTGCAAACTAAAGAGCCCCAGCTCCCTCAGCCGCTCCTCATAAGGGAGATGCTCCACTCCCTTGATCATCTTTGTGGCCCTGCTGGACTCTCTCCAGCAGTTCCTGTCCTTCTTGACCTGAGGGGCCCAGAACTGGACGCAATATTCCAGATGCGGTCTCACCAGGGCAGAGCAGAGGGGCAGGAGAACCTCTCTGCCCTACAACCACCCCTCCTGATACACCCCAGGATGGCATTGGCCTTCTTGGCCACAAGGGCACAGTGCTGGCTCATGGTCATCCTGCTGGCCACCAGGACCCCCAGGCCCCTTTCCCCACGCTGCTCTCTAATTGGTCATTCCCCAGTTTATACTGGAACCTGGGTTTGTTCCTGTCCTGTATTGTAAATTTGTCGTGTTTCCATCTCTCAGTGTTGGTTCTGGGGGCAGGGGCCTGGTGCTGCTCCGGGGTTTGTGTGTGCGCAGCCCGGGCGGTTGGGGGGGGTCCGTGCAGCACCAAGCGCTCAGATATCCCCTGGGGTGGGATCTGGGGGGATTCTTTGATGCTGAGGGGACAGCGTTGCTTTTGTGTGGTGGCCAGAGCAGCTCTCACCCTCGTGGGCATCATGAAACAGCAGAGAGGCTTCTGTAACCCAGACGTGGGGAGCAGCGTGAGGAGAGGGGTGCGTGCACTGCGCTCTCCCGTTACGTGCACTGAGCAGGGCCCGTGTCCGTGCAGGAACGGTCTGTGCCCGTGGGGATGGGTGAGCGCTGAGCGATGGGGGAACGGCTGCGCAGAGGGGAGGATGGGGGGCCCGGCTCCCACCCAGCGCCGTGTCAGG